CATATATACACAAACCTCCAAACTTTATTTTCCCCCTTTTTCCGCCTCTCCAAACTTTGTTTCCCCTCTCTGTATGTCTCTCTCTTCCAGAGACTGCAGACAATTTGCGACCACCGCCCAGTTCACCAGAAATTTGAATGTACCAGCGACCACCGCCATTTCCAGGTAACTTTCCATCTCTTTGTTTTCTTCTTCACCCCTCTCTCATTCGCACAAACCCATTTCGCTCTCTCTCTCTCTCATTTCCCTTTTTCACCCCTCTGCAACACAAACACAATCGACACACCCACGACACATATACTTGTACACACCCACATCAATTGTTGTTTTAAGTTTTTTCAATTTTGGGATTCATTTTGTACGTATGTTGCCTGTTTGATTTTTTGCTTAACAGTAAATATACGTGTGTTTGTCTCTAAAATTTTGACATTTCAATGCGAATTGAGGTTCGGTGTATGCTTTATTTGATAAATATTGAAGTGGCTTGGTTGATACATTTTTTAATATGTGCACAGGTTCATGTATGGTGTATGTACACAGGTTACTGGGTATAAAGAGAGAGATAAGAGAGATTTTAATTTTCTCTAACTTCTTTAAGATGATTCATAATGAAAGTTCACCATTTACTACTGAGGATAAGTGGGATTGGATCTAAAAACTGAAAGTTCCCTAGAAACTAAAGCTTTTTTATGGAGTGTTAAACATGATAAAATCTCATCCAATTACCACAGAACTGTCAGACACTTGACCAATAACTCTTCTCTCCCTTGCTGCTTCTTTCTCTCCGCTACTCATCCACAAGCATCATCCAACACATGTACACACTGCTTATCTCTCTTTGTCTCTCTTTGCTTCTATATCGAAGGTTTTCAACACAACGACCGGGAGGTGTTCGACCAAATGCTACACATTAAGTAGATCGTTAATTATGATTCTAATTAAATATTATTTTTAAAAATTTCAAATAAACAAATGGACATTAAATATAGATTTTGTGTCAAAACGAGTCGAATAACTATAACATAGGTCATATTTTGTATTGAAATAAAAATACTATAATATTCAACTTTTCGCGGCTCAGATTATTTTAAAATTATTGATCAAACAATCAAAATTCCTCCTCCAAATTTCATTTTACTCAATTATCGGTAATTATAATTAGGATTCGAATTGAGCTGAATTTAATTGTCGAATATAAAGTATATAATCTTATTTAAACATAACTTTACTTAAATTTTACGAGTATTCAAGTTGAAGTCAAATTGAAATTGATTGTAAAAGTAATAAAGAATAACTAAATTAAAAAGAAGAAGAAGAAGTTATGACATCAGTGTGAACGAGAATAGATAATAATTAATTTGTAGGTTTAAGATAGAAGTATTAATTGAATCGAACTTAAATTCAATTCTCGGTTTGACATAACTATGATTAAGACTCCGAATTAAACTGAATTTGATTGTTTAATATAAAATATAAATTTTTATTTAAACTCAAAGGTGGGGTTATTCCCACCCCAAAATCTCCATTATTATCCTATTTAATTTCTCATTATCAAATTATTAAATCTACTCTTTCTATACCCATCCTATACTACATACACCTCTTTAAAAAAAAAAAACAAAATAAGGAGAAAAAAAAGAAGCAAACACAAACCAAGAAGGAAAAACCGCAAATCAAGAAAAGATTCAAGAAACAAGCAAAATTACAAAACGCAAAATCAGACATGCCAAAAAAAGTGTCGAGCACAAACACAAAATCGAACAAGAAAAAAAAACAAGCATAGATGCAAAAACCTAAATAAGATTAAAAAAATAACTAATCTGAAAGTATACATATATATACATATATATAAATTATAAATAAAAAATTATTAAACTTGACAAAGATATCAAAACATATCGAAAATAATAAAAATCTATACAATAAATATGAAATCAAATATAGAATTAAATTGTGAAGTAATACTTGATGGGTCAAGTCCAAATAGCTCAATCCATGGGAAAAAGCCCAAACTTATAGAAGATCGAGTAAGCCCTATGAGGTCCAAGACAGTCAAGCCCATCAGGGAGCTACGGGAGCATCCACGAGCTATACTTTTGCTCGTTGAGGAAGAGGAAAGGTCATCAGGGAGAGGAGAGGTCGCCAAGAAAATCAGAGGTTATCAATTATTAAGTTGCCTCCAGTCCGTTATAATCATCAAGCTACTCAATTACTACGCAGGCTTCTATAAATTGTAAGCTTCCCTAACACTTGAGGGGCATCTAAAAAAATCAAGCTCATCTCTTTTTTCTTATAATTCCCTGCTCTCCCAACACACCGGAGCTAATAAATTTCCCGACAAACTTAGCCATTGAAAGTGAACGTAGATTTTGTTGACCGAACCACTATAAACCTTGTTTCCTCTCTCCATATACTTATTTTATTGCATTTTATTCTATTTACCTGATTAATGGTGTGCAAACCAATTTGTGCATCATTAATACTAACATATATTTCAGTGAAAAAATTCATAATAAAAAAATACTTTTGTGAGTGCATGAGATAAAATAGGGGTCCGGCTCCTCTGCGGTAGGGGAGGTTACCGCATATCATGCGGTTTAATAAAACGCCGCCTTTTGGTGTTCTTTTTACATTTTTTTTATTTCCCCTTAACGACGTCGTTTTCGTCCTTTAAATCAGCGCATCAGACCCCTCCCTTTTCTTCTTCGTCAAACTGGGTTTGATTCTCCCACGGCCAATAATCTTGTGATACTCTCTCTCCTCTGATCTATCTTTCAACAGCAAAGCAACAACAACAGTTATTCTCTCTCTTTATGGCCACAACAGTTTCTCTCTGTTTGTCCTTAGACCCACAGCCTCACTATTACCACCATAACCACCTCTACCAGACCACCCACTTCCCCAAATCTGACCGTTATAACCTCATCTCCTCATTCTCTACATCCCACTCTTCTTCCTCGTCTTCAACTTCACCATCATTTCTCCAAAACCCCCTTCTTCCAGGGCGTTTTCTCACCAATGAAGAGCTTGAAAAGCTTCAATCCCTTGAGGATTTCAGATATTACAAAGAATTGGAATCTGGGTCTATGTGGGTTCGAGTGATGAGGCAGGAAGAGATGGACATGAATGTTTAGTTGTTGGCAGAATCTGTTGCAGAGTCCATGTTGTTGCCTATGAGATATGTGAGATTCTTGGGGTTCTGATGCGCTGATTTAAAGGACGAAAACGACGTCGTTAAGGGAAAATAAAAAAAAATGTAAAAAGAACACCAAACGGCGGCGTTTTATTAAACCGCATGATATGCGGTAACCTCCCCTACCGCAGAGGAGCCGGACCCGATAAAATAGAGAATAAAATCCTAATTATGATAAAATATAAAGTAAGTTTACTTATTAAACAAGGTGTATATAGCATGGGTGGACTTAGTTAAGCGGATAAAGCATGTGGTGGACTTAGTTAGTAATGGGGGTGGGTATAGAAGGGTGTAAACTTTTTAGTTTGACAATTCATGTGAAACTTTTAGATGTTTTTCTCACAAAAATTACACCCACTCACATTGAAAAAATGGTACAGAAATAATATTATGAACTTTAGGTAAACACTTGCGAAAAATAAATAGTTATATATTTTTGAAATTTGAGATAAACTTTATTAAAAATGTTAAAACTGTGGATGTTTGATCAATAACAATTATATTTTATAAAAATTTTGAATTAATAAGTTGAAATAGTTGTAACATGACTTTTGTTATATAAATGTTTGATTATATATATTCTGCATACAGGTTGAACAATATCAATTTAATCGTTGTATTGTTGAAATTATATTATGCATTGTCTTTATTTATAAAAAAATATTTATAATTTTTTATAAGTAATGTAGTGCCTTCAGACATGAATAATTACTAATATATACATATAAATTAATGCGAATTAGTTAGGAATACTGAATACGAAAATTAATGACTATTCCGTATTCTTACCAAATTTAATCATAATAGTAACTCTTTTGCATTCTTACCCGATTTTTTCGGCTAGCCGTTCAATAGGGTCAGGTAAGATAGGAAATTGCGGCTAATCAAAATTTAAACACCCCTACAATTACATAGGCTTACATGACTCTAACCCTAACCCTTATACATCATGTTTTCCTCCCCATTTAAATAATAATACTTACATAGGGTTAAGTTCGAGTTAAGCCTAATTTCATAAATTTTAGTTAAAATCGTGAACTCAAACTTTTAACCCGAACTTTGCTTGAATACAAAGTAGGTGGACATTTGTTTTGTAACAGAGAAACCAGGGGTGGTAAAGGTTCGAACTATGATATTTGTATTAATTGAATCCCTAAACTCTTTAATTGTGCCAATTAGAGAGTTGAATCCCACATTATGAAAGTTTTTGAAACTAATATAAGGTCTCTTGTAGTTTATAGATCTATGATTCACAAGGGGTTCAAATCCAAATAAAATTAATTTCCACAAAAAATTATCATGAATGATATTTATATCCAATGTACCGCTCTAAGATACCATATTATTCATTTTTCTGCCATACCATTCATCGAAATTAAACTAAGTGTTATTCATCATCAAACACAGCAATAAAATAAAATAAAGCACAAATTATAATGACACCACAGATTGTTTCGAATATTTTCAATTTACCCCTTATTTTTCCCCAAAAACATAAAAAAACCATATTTCCAGTAAAAAAAAAAAAACTGACTAACCACCCCACCCTTGTCCACCCCCACCCCTGTCCATCTTCCACCATTGCAATGCGATGAATCATAAGGTAGTTGTGCCAAAAAAGAAGCAGTAGCATTTCCGGAGAGCTAAATGAAGAGGCATTTCAACATCAGCACAACTGTGTCAAAGTATAGCATTTTGAAACTCTGGTATGGCAAAAAATAAAGCTGAACTTGAATTTGAACTTGCTCTTAGTCTCTGAATCAACGTAGACCCAGATTACGACTAAATTCAACACCCCCTCCCCCCCCCCAAAAAAAAAAAAAAAGGACAACCAAAAAACAAAGAAAGAACACACACATGCAACTCAAACAGCTGGGACAATACACCATTCTGAGTACCTTTCTATGAACGATCATGATTTCCCCAAACCATGATGGTATTTGTTTAAGTGGCAGTACATCAAAAAATTGCTAGATTGAGTGCAGAAGGGGCCGTCAATCCACCAATCTGCCCAGACACGCTTTCCTAGCCTATAATGATACAACCAAAAAGATGGGTACTGCATGGCATTTCATCGCCACCCCCTCTCCTCTCTCTGAAACTTTGTGATCAAAATTGCTACATAATGGATAATACAAGGGCAATGAAAGGGGATACAATCTAGAGGCTTTCAAAAGTACTGTTTGACCCCTATGCCTGAGACAATTAAACACAACAGAGACTGGGAGGTAACAAAACAAGTTGAGCTTACATTTAAAATTGCAAGGCATACCACAATCTGGATGGCCAATCTCAAGTTATCAACAAGGAACAAAGGCAGAGTTTTCTAAAACTGTTCTGAGTCCAAAGTGCTCGAGTGTGTGCTCAACAATCAAGCTGATATGGAGATATCTATCAAATCATATACCCATGGGATGCAAAATTCAATGGAAAATGACCTAGCCTGCCCAAACAGATTCAAGGGCATCCAACTTCCATAATGCTTCAGAACATTCCTCAACAGCTAGAGTTCTCGTTAAATCCACTTTGATCAGCCTTTTCAGTGGTGAAAAAAAAAATTCATGTCTACAGAAAAGGACCAATAAATTTCAACCTCAACATCTGCTTCATGTTTACTCTTTTAAGGATTCTTTTGCTGCAAACTTATCTAGGTTTCCCAAACAATTTTTTCATCAAGTCTAATGTTGGGGAGGCAGACACATAAAACCTGGTTTGTTGACTGTCCAATTAGAGCTGCAGAAATCCGACAGATCCTTGCACATGCTGATGTATTAACCATTTTAAACCAGCCCTCAAACACTTCATTCTAACTACTCTCCTGATAAATCAATTCTTTCAAGTCAGCTTGAAACTGGATGTAGCTTAAGCTTTAGCTCATTGAGATCTTTACATAAATCTAAAAGATGCCATCTCTAATTTGCATTACATGCTTCAAAATATACAGATTGCTCCCCAATGAAATCTTATTTTTCTTTCTTCCTTTGTAAAAGTTGCCTTCAGGGTAGTTTCAACCAGCGCTTACGTGCTCTAGCTCAAGCATTCTAATGACGGGAAAAAAAAAAATCAATTACGAGTGGCAATGACTATATTTTGAATTTGATAAAGAAAAAATCCAAGCCAAGAACAACAATATAACTAGATATATGTGCTATAATCAAATACGGAGGAAATACACAATTAATGAAATCAATGAAACACTCTTTCCCTTCGATGGTAGAGGCAATATATTCTAGCAGGAATATACGTGTACGCATACGCATCTATGGTTGTGTCTGCATATATAGTGTGTGCGCAGTGAGCACGTATGTGAGTGAGGCTCAAGTGTTTGCATATGTATACACCACTATTGAGAAAGGATAGAGATAATTTTACGAGGGTTAACTTACCATTCAATGAAAAATATCAAGAATCTTTGTATTTCAGTTCACCTCAACCACAATTTCCCTGACATCTAAGTCTGCTATGGTCTCCTTTCCAAATAACGTAAATACAACAGTTGCCTGCAAGATGACAATTTACAAAAATTAAAATTCCACTGCTTAGGTATAAGTATAATCATAACACCATTTCCAAGAAGCCTTTCTCTTTTACAATAGGCAGTAAATTGTTATGTCCAAAGGTCTTTTGACCAGATATGCGCATGTATTTGCACGCGCACACGTGTGTCTATATCTATATGTGCGCATTTGTGCGTGTATATATATGTGTGTGTGTATATTATGGATAATAGGTCTTATGGAATATAGTATTGGCTACACTTCGTCGCATTCACCACTAAATGCAATAGAAAGAGCTTACCATTCTCATCTTGCGATCTAGCTTCCTAAGCATGCCTGAAAACCCAGCGAATGCCCCAGAGACAACTTGCACAGATGAACCGGGGATAAGGAGCTTATCATCCGTTCCCGCTGGTGGACCACTTGTAGGACGTTCTGAATTTTTTTTGGATCTGCTTTTTGGTTTTGAAGAGATAATTGAATCTGCATTGTCTCTGGAAGCAAAATTAGAGTTTAATTTCTGTTCTTCTGAGTCTGGAGTTAGTTCCCCTTGCTGCTCTTCTTCAAAAGCTTGGTCAGCTTTTTCCTGTTCCTCTTTGGCTTGTTTAAAGATTGCTTCCAAGTCATCTGCGTCTACTGGCCTGGGTTTGTTAATCTGTCGTTTTCTGCATATGTATTTTAATTCAATGGCATAAAATGAGTATAGACACTAACATAAAGAGCGCTAAGAATTACAATAGACAAAAGATTCAATAGGCCACCTGGAAACTGAAATACCTAAACAAAACCGTATGGGCTGCCCACATAACAAAGACGTGGAGCAGAATTTAATCCGCCAGATTTTTTATATTACAAGGACTTTGGCAAAGTTCACATTAAGCTCTTTGAAGGAAGTAATTCGAGCTTCGTTGGACTTTCCTAGTTCACTATCCAATTATAGTGCCACATCACAACCGACAATATGCCCATACAAATTATTTCCTATAGAAGCCCTAAAACTAATGAGCAGAGGGACTTCAATTGGACCATTATTGGGTTTGGAACACAAGATTTGAGCTAAGAAAATCGAAGTTCAGGTAAGTTCTTCTAACTTCATGATAGGACCCATATAGCTTTTGAACCCAACATTCATGTCCTATCGTTACTTGTTTTGCTTTTCTTGTCCTGTATAATTTCTAATTTTCAGCATCGAAAAAATCTAATAGGTTCATATTAGAACAGAAGGACATTTCAAATAAAGACGCAGAAATAGTCCTAGTAACATCGGAAAGTGCAAGGAACAACAGTGAACCTTACGTATTCCCAACTTTGGATCCGACAAAGCCTCCAACTCCATCACATTCCCGTATAAAGTCATGTATTTGTTTGTTCATTGTACACCTCAAAAATATACACCCAGGGAAAAGGGGCTTTGGTTTCACGGAGATAGATCCATTCTTCAATTTCCTTTTTACCTGGATGGCCGGAGCATACATCTGATAATGAACAAAAAGAGTTTGATTAGTGATATATACACAAGCTTCCAGTTCTATCTGTTTGACATCCAATAGTTACCATCTCACACAGAGAATATTACTATGATTACAAATAACTTAGCCAATTAAATATATAGTTACAAGAAGTGCAGGATATTTCGAACAAAATAAATGATCTTGGCCAGCGTGTATAATGGTCCATCACCAAGTTGATATTGCGAATCAGTTCGTTTACTTTGACGAGAAATGGAGGGAAATATCACTGCAAAAGGGTTAATCTGAACTAAATTATCACACTTTGGTAGACAAAATAGGTCAGTTTCTTTCCTCTTAAACTGCATCGCTCATGTGTGATATGATGAAATCCTTGGCAGGAGTTTCACTGAATTTTTCCCATTCCTCCCAGACAAATAGATCCCAGGTTCCAAATCATTCCGATGCTGAATTATCAAGTACCAATGTCTTTCATTAGCACTCAATTGACAGATATTTCTTAGGTGCATCGTCCAGAAAATACAGTTCATAATAAAGAAGTGTATCCCGTACACGAGGCTCAAGTCATTTGGATATACGCAGTTTTACCCATGCAGAGAGGCTGAGACCGTGATTAGAAACCATGACCTCCTGGTCACAATGGAGCACCCTTACTGTTGCGCCAAAGCCCACCCTCAAATACAGTTCATAATACGCAACTAAAATTGGCAATCTGCAATTGCTTCACATCAGCTCATATACCCGAAGAACCCACGGGAATCATTCGGATGAACTCAAATTATCACTGTATGCATAAATCTACAATCTCTAATCATATTCTGAAACATCCAAATATAAATGCAGAATTTACAATGGACCCAATAATCCAAAGGCCCCAAAGACTATGAATCAGTATAATTTACCTTGAATTCTATGTCTGGCAAGTTTCGGGCAAGTGATTTCGCCAGCCTTTCAGCAATGTCCTGCCAAGAAACTCTCGAAACTCGGACGACCCACCACTGAGGACCTAGTAAAGCAAGGTTATCAAGATTAAGCTCTTCGGTCCATGAAGTGTACCTTTTCTTGGGCTTCTTAATGAGCCTCTCTTCTACTTCTTCTCGCCAATTGTAACTGGGTTTGCTCTCCCTCCTCTCGTTTCGGAGTTGTCTTCTCTCTCTTGCTGTGAGTAGTTTTTCGTTGACAGACTTGAGCGTTGCAGATATTGGTGTGATGGGTCTGGGTACTTTATTGATGGTTGTTGAAGTGGGTGGTAGAGAGAGGAAAAGGGGGCAAGGACTCCATGAGAGAAGTCCTTGCTTCATCTTCTCCTTCTGTTGTTTCTCCTTGGTGGCTTGGTGGATGGTTTCGTGAAACGGTGGCTTTGGATAATTGCCAGGATACCAACAGATTTCAACCGGGTGGGCATTTTATCCTCACTAGTGCACTATGCTTTTGGGTCCGACCCACATCTCTTAAGTTGAGATTTCATTTCAATTAAGGGCAAGGAGTATACATTGGGCGTAATTGTTAAACAATAATCATCTAATAAAAAAACAAAAAAAGAGTAAAATAAAGCCTTTTTTTTATTATGAAGATGATTGTGTATGATACAGTTGAGTGATTATTAGTTACCGTGGAACTTATTTGTTGATTTATTTATCTTTTAGTAGATCGTTACATCAAGTGACATTATTGCCATGAAATAATTGTTATATCAAATATTCTTTTTGAAATAAAATTATACAATTCAAATTTGCATCTCAAATAAAAAAGACCATTGAATGCGTGACTCCTATCAATTTTTTTAAATGAGACCCACTAATTTAATGATCTCCTTTATTTGGGATGTAAATTTAAGCTACATAACATTGTTCTATTTTTTCCTTAACAACTCTTTTAGGGTCAAGTTATGAAAGATTTATCTCATCTTTTATGAATATTTTAGTTTCGACATAAATAATCTATCTTTGACCAAACCGGAGAGAGAATTAGTCAATGTATACGTCAACTAGCACAAACATCCTTGACCCGTAAAAACAAACCAAAAACAGGGTGTGTCAATCTTATTTGGATGGATTGGGGAGGGTGAGGGGTTAATTTAGACTTTACCCAAATTATAGAATCATTAATTTAATTTAGATTGAATTTTTAAAACTCTGATTGGTCTATAGTTATACAACTTGGTTGAAAAATTTAAGTTGATTTTTGAGTTCAATTTTCAGGTAAAAATCGGGGTCACAATTTTATTTCGGATGACATTGACATTTGTGTCTTAAATATCTGGACCTAACTCAACTAAATAAATTAAAATTCAACCTCATTTTTATCATGTGTAGAAAATGTTACATAATTCAAATAATATCCCTATTAATGGACAGAAATAGAGAAATAGAAATAGAAAACGAGAGAGAGAGATAGGAAATGGTCTTATTAAAAAATATCAAAAACGCAAGTTTAATGCAAGTAAACTATTGTGATTATGAAATGATATATATGACTATATTAAAAAGTAATTCAAAAATCCAATTCCAAAAGCAAAGATATGAAAAGCATAAAAACCGTTAGAGTTTCAATTCATAATGGTTTAACTAATCTAAGTGTTTAAATCAATTATTATTAGCTCAAGAGTATTTACTTTTTTTTTTTTTAACAAGAAATATTTTCAAGGAAATTCACTCTCGACTCCATCGTATAAATTCCAAATATTTATAATTATCCGTAAATCACAATTATCAATTAAAGTTTGGTAGTCATCAGTGAGAGTCAAATCTTCTAGTTCAAGTCCACAATTCCTTTTAAGTTCAATCCTACGCCACTCAATTACCTATCTATAGGGATGGTAAACGATCCAACCTTGAATTCCTTTTGAAAAAATGTTTACCCTCAAATCCAATCTCAAACAATTTTTTAGACTTGACTCGATTTAAATTCGAGTTTACAAGATTTAGCTTGAGTTCAACTCATTTGTTTAAAATACAAGCTAAATTTAAATAATTTTTTTATACTTCAAACAAGCTCGTCAGCCTAGACTTGAACTCGTTTATTACCCTTACCTATCGGGTTGAATATTTACTTTAAAGAATAATGTTATATGGAGTTAAAAATTAAACTTAAAAGTTAGATTTAATAATCACAATCATTAAATAGATAGTAAGTCCTAATAAGTGTTGAGAGTCACAATAAAATTAATGATTATAATTATCAAATTTAATTTTTAAGTTTATGTAACATTGTTCTTTTTCAAAAGTTATAATTTTTTGGAGTAAATATTACAATCGTAAAAAAAATAATCAATGTTAAAATATTAGGATCTATTATTTAAATTATATTTTTTAAAAATAAAATTATGATTATATAATATATGACTTATATAAAAGGACTAGTTATTGCGTGTGCCTGAAGGTACAGTATAATAAAAATGATAAACAATAAACATATTTGTATTCATATTCAAAATCAAATCACAAACATAGAGAAGAGGTAAAAGAATTTAAGCATCGATTTGTAATGAGGGTGAGAGGTAATGGTGGTAGGAGACGGTGATAGTTGTGGTGGGTGGCAATGACTGTGATGACGATGGTGGTAGTAATGGCAGCGACAATGATAGTGGTGGCGACGGCAATCACGTTGGTGGCGACGATGATGGTGACAATAGTGGGGGTGACGACGACGATGATGGTAGTGGGGATGACAGGGGGTGGTGATGATGAGGGCGACGACGATGGTAATGGCGGTGGTGGCAGTGTTGGTGTTGGTGACAGCGATGACGACAGTGGTTGTGGTAGAGATAGTGATGAGGCGGTTTCAAACACTATTTTTTTAAAAATATTTATGAGAAATAAATTTTAAAAGTACTTTAAAAAAGTTACTCAAAAATACAACTTTAAAATCCTATTTTTTCTATTAAATTTAAAGTGTTAATATTAATTTTAAAATAAAATTTAAAATATTTCGAATAACAAAAAGATTTGAATCGTAAGCTTTGATAAATTCAATAAACCGCCGTCTCAAATGGACTCGGCCACCAACGTTTTCTCATCAGTCCTCCGTTCTGGCCCTCTCTCTCATCCTCCATTTCTGCGCTCTATGCTCTTCTCTCTCTCTCTCTCTCTCTCTCTCTCCCATTCTTCGATTTCGCTCTCCTAGTTCAAATAAGTGCCAGTACAGACAAGGGGACACAAGGAATCAGAAAAAATCGGAAAAGTAAAGGTCACTCCGGTCCAAATCGCATTCGTCGTGGACCGATGCGAAGGCATCTGCTTACCTATTTGCATTCTGCTTTTATTAGCGATTTCTGTTTTAAGCTGAGAATTATTCATAATGGATATGCTGGCGCCGAAGGTTTATAATTCTGGTGGAATT